AAATGATTCATTAACAAAGTTAATCAATCCTTTTAGCTAGTTTAATTCTTTTTTGTCTGGTTTGTTGTTTTTTTTCCCCAAGCAAAACTTTTAGGATCTCATTTTTGCTGATCTCTCCTGTACCTGCTCAGGTGAGACCAGCCAGGGTTGATGTGGAGTCAGCTGTGCTGCTCTTCAAAAGCCTGTGAGAACCATCCTTGTAATGCTCTGTACACAGAGCAGCTCCTCTTAGCAAACCAGGAACTTCAGCTGCAAGTGCAGAAATTAAATCTGTGTGCAGCTGTCAGTGAAAACAATAAATACAAACTTTAAATGCAGAACCTTTTTGTTTTTCATGGCTCTCATGGTCAAAAATACCTGAGTATTGCTTTGTATGTTAATTGTATCTTGCACCTTTGAAGAAGTAGGAAGTAAACCATGAGCTAGAGATACCTTATAACAGACACTCAGATTTTTTTATATCTATGTGAAGAAACTGTTAAAAATACCACTTGGATGGAGAATGAGCTCCAGCCATGGCAGGAAAGCCCGATCTCTGTGTGAGCAGTGTGCTGCCCTGTGTTGTCACTGCAGCTGCACTGTGCCTGGAAATGGTGATTTTTTTCCCCCCTGTGTTTTAGTGAGAAGTGTCGAGTTCCAGCGTGGTGTGACCGGATACTCTGGAAAGGGCAGAACATTGCCCAGCTGAGCTATCGCAGCCACATGGCTCTGAAGCTCAGTGACCACAAGCCAGTGAGCTCTGTGTTTGATATTGGGGTAAGTGCTGGATGGAGTAACTCTGCTGACCTCATTCCCTGGGTGCTGATTTCTCTCTCCTGCTTTTCTGGCATCCACAGAGAACAATGGCTTGAAAGGTGAGCTGGATCAGATATGGAGATGGGATTGTTGACCAGACTAAGCGAGGGTTGTGTAAATGATACTGCAGTTAAGCTGGATAAGGCCTGAATATCTGTCAGTGTTCTTTGGGAGCAGAGTGGTGTCTTGTCAAACATCCTATTTTTTCTGAGGGGAAAAAAAAAAAGGTTGATCTAGTACTGACTGAGTGACTCTTGTTAGTTATGGCGAGGTCCTTTAGTACTGGATCATGAGAAGATCTTGGAGATTAGTGCTCCAAACAGCTCTGCCCATTCCCTGTGTTGTAAACCCTAGTGTGCTGTTAAATCAAATCACCTCCCATGTTTGCATCTGTTCCAGCTGTCCTGCAGAGGACAGTCAATACAGGCAGGTGCAGTGTGTGTCCCTTTCAGGTGAAGGTTGTGAATGAAGAGCTCTACAGAAAAGCCTTTGAGGAAATCGTGCGCTCCCTGGATAAGCTGGAGAATGCCAACATTCCCTCGGTGACACTGTCCCGCAGAGAGGTAGGGCATGGCCCCTGCCAGCACTCCCTGAAGGGACTGAGCAACCCTAGACCCCAGCAGTAGAAGATGAATCCTGGACCCTTGCGTCTGTTCCAAAAAGTAGAATATTTTGACTTCCAGTTGCTCTCTGTTTGCAAGCCCTAGGAGTCTTTGCTCCTATTTAGATGCTGGTGAATTCCATTCGCAGTCCAAGGCTGAAACACAGGGTGTGTCATTCCCTGAGGTGGGAAGAGAGAAAGTAAAAAGGTGGTTTGTGACCCTTGCTCTGACTTGTGCTTTCAAACATAAAATGTAAAATTGTAAGGGTCTGGAGAAGGTCACAAAGCAGCATTTGCTTTGTGTCTTGGGACTATAAAGATAAGCTCAGGAGACATTTGAGGCTACAGCTATCTCATTCTCAATTTTATTGTAGTTATTTGAGGGCAGCATTTGTCTTAAAGGGCCCCCTGACAGAAAGAACTTTGGCATTCAGAGTATGCACATGTGAGGAGATGGGGTTGGGAGCAAGGGGTTAATCTATTTGTCTTTCTGCTTAATAATTAAACCACAGGACAGGAATTGCTGCTCAAGCAAGGTGAATTGGCTGATGATGTTGACTGACATTTGTTTCTAGATCCATTTTAAGGATGTTAAATACATGCAGCTGCAGGTAGAGAGGTTTACAATCCGCAATGGCCAAGTGCCCTGCCAATTCGAATTTATCACCAAACCAGATGAGAAAACCTACTGCAAGGAGTGGCTGATTGCTAATCCCAGTAAGGGCTTCTTGCTCTCAGGTGAGCTCCTCCTTTTGTCTCATGTTCATGAGCTGATATTGTCCCCTTCTGGCTTAGTTCCCTCTACACTTCTGAGCATGATGTGCCTCTTTGCAGGCTGTTGGTTTAATACTAGTTGTAACTGAGTCTGTTTTTTTGATCATATTCTGGCAGATGCTGAGATCACAGTTGAGCTGGAGGTGTTTGTTAATAAATCAACAGCTACTCGCTTAAACTCTGGAGAGGAAAAACTTGAAGATATCTTAGTCTTGCACCTTGTCAGAGGGAAGGATTATTTTCTATCCGTAACAGGCAACTATTTGCCAAGTTGCTTTGGGTCTCCCATCCATACACTGTGTTACATGAGGGAACCAATCCAGGACATGTCAGCAGAATCCATTCGGAGACTTGTGAGTTAAAGACAAGATTCCCTTCCAAACACACAAGAGCATTAAAACTAGATGCTAAGGCCTGTTTGTTTTTATTAAGAAGTCTCAGTTCTCAGGTATAAGCTTTGTGAAGTACTTTGGCCGAGTCGAATAAGAACTTGGCTAGCTACCTTTTGTTTGTCTCCCTCCTGCCCACACTGCCCTCCCTCAGACCCTGATGCCAGTAGACATGAGTGATGATCCTGCCCAAGATGAAAAGCCTATGGAGATCCCAAAAGAGCTGTGGATGATGGTGGATCACTTGAATCGCAACGCTTCCCAGCAGGTTGGCACTGGAAACACAAAATGAGATGTTTGCATTGGGTTGAGTTTTGAAGAAGATACTGGTAACAGCAATCACTGTGAGCTGGGTGTGTTTGGCCAAAGGCCATGGGAGATGAGTGGTGCTGATGCCCCAGGTTGTACTGTTTGGTGCTAGTGACCATGTCTGTGTGTCCAGGTATCAGCAATGTCCAGGTATCAAGCAGACTTGGGTGGTAACCACCAATTTGGAGAGACTTTCCAGGCAGATTATAAGGACATTGCTCTATTTACCCACAATTCTATTTTCCTTGGACTGATACAGTGTTGTCTTTGCAGGAGGACCTGTTTCAGCAGCCAGGCCTCAGATCTGAATTTGAGCAAATCCGAGACTGTTTGGACAAGGGAATGTATGACACTTTCTGTATCCTTTTAGACTGATGTCCAGGAAGGCTCCCTGTGCCAGAGTGCCAAAACAGAGAGGTTTTTAAGCTGCTCTCTCTCCTCTTGGGGTTCCTGAGCTCTGCATTTCCTCGTGGCTCTGTGTCATCCTCTGCTGAGTGCTGGCCATGTCAATGAATGACACAAGAGCCCAGCTGCTAACAGCAACAGCTCGTGTGGAGGCCAGGGGTTCAACCCAAAGCTGTGAGCTGTGGGCAGAGGTCTGGGACACCTAACCCAAAGCTCATTCATGTTTCAGCATAAATAGGACCAGCCTAGGTCGTGCTGTGCTCTTCCTTAACCTCTGGATCAGTGGGCAGCAACCACTCCGTGGCAGAGGCCCTGCTGCTGTTCCTGGAGAGCCTTCCTGAGCCTGTCATCTGCTGCAGGTTCTACAGCTCCTGCCTGGAGAGCGCCAGCAACTACGGCCTGAGCTGCCAGGTACAGCTGGCTGCCCAGGGACCAGCCCCAGTTCAGAGGGAGGGCAGGAAACTGGCCACTGGTGACACCAGTCCCACAGGGAGAGCAGGCCAGGCAAACTGGCCTCTGGTGACACCAGTTCCAGAGGGAGGGGAGGAAACTGGCCTCTGGTGACACCATTTTTAGAGGGAGGGCAGGCAAACTGGCCTTTGGTGACACCAGTTCCTGAGGAGGGGCAGGCAGACTGGCCTGTGGTGACACCAGTTCAGAGGGAGGGGAGGCAAACTGGCCTCTGCTACACCAGTCACCCGGTTTTGCTCTCAGTCACTTAATCCTCTGTTAACAGAAATGATCTGGAACTGGTGATTTTAGGGTATAAAGAGCTGTTGGCACCTGCACACAGGGGGGTTTTGGGGCAGATGCAGCTGGAAGGCATGGCTGTGTCTGCAATATAAATGTTGGTGTTTTCCCCTCCCCAGATTATCGCTGACCTACCAGTGTTCCACAAAAACGTGTTTGAATATCTGATGGCGTTTCTACGAGAGCTACTGAAGAACTCAGGGAAAAACCACTTGGACGTGAACATTCTTGGTAAGGCCTGCACAATAACCCTCTGCTCAGAGGGGCTGCACAAAACACTTCATACCCGAGTGCAGCCATGGCTTGTAGTGCTTTGAACCTTTAATTATTAGCGAATAGTCCACAGAAACGCAGGAGTGTGGGGAAGGAGCCCGGAGATGTGGGGATTTTCAGTTTTATCCTGCCTCACTCCAAATTTAGGCTCTATTCCCAGGTCTTTCCGTGTCCTGCCCTCACTGTGTGTCCGTGTGTCCTTCCCACAGCCAGCGTGTTCGGTGGTTTGCTGCTGCGGCCTCCTCCTGGCCACCCCACGCCCGACATCGCCGAGAAGAGGAAAGCTCAGCAGTTTATCCACCAGTTCCTCGTGAGAGAGGATGATTTGCCATGAATATAAGATGCGGTCATGTCTGACTTGTAGACATTGAATTACTGTAAAAAAATATTTTTTTTGTACATTATACTGGCACTTTTTTTTGATATCACGGTATTTTATACAATCTGTGTCTTTCGAAAGCTGAGATCAGGCAGTTTGACCCCTGATTACGCTGTAAACTACACAAAGTTTCCCAACAAGCTGTACGTAGAGTCGAAAAACACCGAGAGAGCTGATATTTACACTGTGTTTTATTTAACTTGTTGAAACCACCAGAGTTTTTCAACCCCCTGCTATTTAAATAAAAAAAACATCTTTTCGCGGCCTGTGCCCCGGTGTCGCTGAGGGCCGTGAGGGCCAGAGAAGCGGGGCCCGGGCCGGCCGAGCCGCCTGACCCCCGCCTCGCCCGTCGTTGTGTTGCAGGTGAGCCGCTGCGGCCGGAGCTGCCGGTAGCGCGGCGAGAGGCGCGGAGCCATGGGCGAGAACAGCCCCGAGGGCGACGCCATCTACTATGAAGCGGAGGAAGAGGACTTGGCCCAGGATGAAAACATGATGAGGTTCGCCGACAAAAACGGGCTGGTGTCCTCCTCGTCCGGCACGGTGTATGACAGGACAACTGTGCTCATCGAGCAGGACCACAGCGTGCTGGAGGATGAGGAGGATGAAGGACAGTGCGGTGACCACTTGCCTTTCCTGCCCGAGGGTCATGAAGAAGGATTTCATTTAATCGCAGACCATGAAGGGATGTCGCAGGGTTACGTGCAACACATCATTTCTCCAGATCAGATTCACCTGACAATAAATCCCGGTTCAACTCCCATGCCAAGGAACATCGAGGGAGCAACTCTCACTCTGCAGTCAGAGTGCCCAGAGACCAAGAGGAAGGAGGTGAGTGACTCTGGGGTTTGTGCACCTTGGAGGCTTTGAAATTGGGCTGGTTTTCAGGAGAGAAGCAGCAGTTTTGCTGTTTTTTTCAGGAGAGGGGCAGCAGTTTTGCTGTTTTTTTCAGGAGAGGGGCAGCAGTTTTGCTGTTTTTTTTCAGGAGAGAGGCAGCAGTTTTGCTGTTTTTTTCAGGAGAGGGGCAGCAGTTTTGCTGTTTTTCAGGGGTTTTGTGTGAATCTGCTCTGGTTGTCATCCCCAGCTTTGCAGTGTGCTGGGGAGAACCGTGTCCCTGCCGAGTGCCAGGGCCATCCCTCTTCCCTCTGACACCACCTGCTGCCCTAGGAAGCTGCCAGAAGGCACCTGGTGACACTGGATGGCAGCAGGGTGTGGCACTGGCACACCTTTGTGTCACTGATGTGTGTCATTTTAGTGATTTTCAGGATTTTTTTGCTGCTTGAGTTGTTTTGTGAGTTGAGAGGCAGCTGAAACAACCTGAGCTCTTACTCTGGGACTTTTCATTCTCAAGAAAAGCACATTCAGGTCACAGTTAAGGGCCAGGCCGTTGCTGGGAGCTGGAGTACCAAATGTGAGATGCCAGATTGTAAATTATTTGTAGTTCTATTGTGCCAAAGGGCAGCTGTGAGAAGATGGAAGCTTTAAGCTGCCAGCTGATGTGTTTTGAAAGCTTAGGCCAGGCTGTGTGGTTAAAATGGAGTTTGCTCTTAATTCTGTTTCCCTGGTGAATTCTGTCTGGATGCACAATGGGGAGGGCTTGCCCTGGGACTCTTCTTTTTGGGTGCAGGAGCAGAGGGAGGTTGGCTGTGTGCTCCTGTTTGTGAGGAGTGATGAGTCCAGGTGGCAGTGCCAGTGGCACAGGCTGTGACACTCCAGAGCTGTCACCATCGGGCTGAGAGCTGGGAAATGGGGCTGGGGGTCAGCTCTGAGCTGGGGAGCTGCTGCACTGAGGTGTGCTCAGTGAGCCTGAGCCTCCTGCTGTCAGTTACTGTCCTTAGCAGCTGCTGAAGTGTTTCACTTTCCCTCTCTGTGGGACCCTGACTGCATTTTTTCTCCTTTGCTTTTTACAGAAGGCTTGTTAGGTGTGGGATTTCCTGGTGAAATGCTTTATATGAATTTGTTTTCCATTTCTGGAATTAATTTCCCAGAGCAGAGGGCAGTGATTCCATGGTGTGAAAGCAGTGGCACTGAGCCCTGAGCACGTGTGAAAGGCCTTTTGGGCTGCTCTTTCAAAGGTCTGATAAGTTGTCTGGAGGTGAGGAAAGGAGAGCTCTAAAGGTTCCAAACATCTGAGTCTCTCTGAAAATCAACAGCTCTGTTCTTTGGTACTTGCGAAATATCTGCAACAGTTTTAACACTTGAGATAATTGTTTTAAAATCTTAGGTTTTCAGGTCAGCCTTAGACATTTATGAAGCTAAAAAGGGATTTTGCACTTTAGTACTTTTGGCTTTTTATTATTCTGTTGTACATCTCACTGTAACTGTGTGGGTAAGAACAAGCACGATTACAGTTTCTTATTTCAAATTGAGTTATTTGTTCAGCAGTGACACAGAAAATGTGGCCATTTAGGGGGAAGGTGGTGAGCTCAGGAAGAGTTAAAGGCAAACAGAGCAGGTACTGTAGACTTTGAACCAGGGTGTGAGGCTCTGCTTTCTCCAGCCCCGTTGGCTATTGCACAACGAGTTTTCTGAGGTAAATGCTGGATCATGGCTCTTCCAGCAGCACCTCACTGTCCCTGGCCACAAGCCACAGCCTTTGGCCTCAGAGTCCCTGGGCCCTGTCCTGCCTGCCCGGGGCTTGGCCTCTGCTGCCTTGTTTGTTTTCTGTTGTGCCCTGCTTGCTGCTGTCTCTGTGAGGCTTTCAAATCAATCTCTGATGGTTTTGTGTGTATGAACAGTGTGCAGTGTGCTGATGTGAAAAGAGCATTAAATGCTGTGGTGCTTCACAGAAAGGTTTGTTTTGCTCAGAACGTGGTGGTGATATTGCTGCTGCCTGTGGTGTGCTTGGAAGGATTTGTGAAGTAAAGATTTGGCCTTTGAGGGAGGGGGAGCACTGCAAGGCCATTAAAGTGATACTGCCACCTTCCCTTACACATGGGTGGTGACAGCTGGGAACCAAACAGCTTAATCTGTAATTAATACTGTCCTTTTTCTTCTAGACCTAAGTGTAAACACCTAGAAAGCTTAACAGAACCCTCCCTTGATTTTCAGGTAGTTCCTGCCTGTGTCAGATCCCTTGTGTGCCATGGGAAATGTTGTGTAAAGTGTTAATTTCCAGCTGCCTTAAAGCTGTAACAAGGAACATTTACTTCAGCACTGATACACAGATTGTACTGGATCTGGGGGAGGATGATGTACCCTCCTCATGTAATAAAATGTGCTTTCTGCTGCTGATGTGGTACTGCTCTGTGCTCCTGTGTTGTGACAGCCTCAGCATGCCAGACTTCCTAACTGCATTGTAACCATGCTGCATTTAGGATTTCTGCCTGATTTGGGCTATAAATTAAGGGCAGATTGCTTAGAGTGAAATTACTGTTTCCTTCTCTGAGAATGCTGAGTGACCAGTTGAAAATGTGAAGGGGTGAATTCCTTGCTTCCCTGGCAGGCAGGAGCTCAGCCATGCCCAGGAAAGCTGGGCTCCAGCACGTCTAACAGAGACTGGGGACCACAAAATGTTTCCTCTTCCTCCTCCTTGCCCAGTTTTCTATACGGAGCATAACATCACATGGTCTGGGATATCCCTGATCAGCCAGGGTCAGCTGTCCTGGCTGTGTCCCCTCCCCACTCCCTGTGAACCCCAGCCCCTTGCTGGCAGGGCAGAATGAGAAGCACTAAAAAAATCCATCTCATTCTCATCCAGAATGAGAAGCACTAAAAAAATCCATCTCTATATTATCAGCCCCATGTTGAGCACAAATCCAGAACCTGCTCTATACAAGTGAAGAAAATGAGCTCTATCCCAGCCAAAGCCAGCACATGATGGTATTTCTGTGTGAAGGTCTCTTGTCTGTCTCACAAGAGGGTTTTATGTTCTCCAAACAGGAAGGTTTTACTGAGGCAAGGTGAGGGGAATGCCAGCCTGTTGTGGGAGCAATAAGGCCATGCATTGGTATACACAAAAGATCACTCAGCTTTATAGAATTTTCCTAAAGGAGTCCTGCTGGCAGTTTTTTCCACTACAAAACAGGTTGGAAACAGCCAAGAAGCTATTTCTGTTTTGTTGTGGAGAACTGTCTAGAACTTGATTTATAGCTGGTGTGACTTGCCAAGTCCTCTCTTGGGCTCCTCAATCACTATGAGGTGTTGAAGTTTCTGAACTTTAACAGTCAAATGAAAGCCATTAGTCTGGTAATTAATGGTGGGGGATAACTTTATTCAGGCAGATCAGGGTGTATTCCTTCTGCTTCACAAGAGAAGATGATATTTCATGAGGTGTTACCACTTACACAAGTTTGTAAATGATCTCTTGTGCCTGTACCAAATCGGGTTCCATGAGAAGTTGTCCTAGGGATCTCAGTGGCTTACTGAGAAATCTGTGACAGCTGTATTTGGGTGTCCTTGTGACCTGGTGTGATCCTTTACACTTCAGGCACTGACTGCTTCAGTAGCCACAGAAGGGAAGAACAAGGCTCAATGAAGGCTGGTTTGGGATAGAGTGAAGTAATGAATGGACTGGTGGGTAGACCATGGGAGATGGTAAAAACTGTTTTGAACACCAAGGTGTTGTTGATGGGAATTGGGCACACAGGGCAGTGGGTTTGAGCATTGTGACAGTGCATTTTCCTTTGTCTCCCTGCTCCACAAATGGGTAGTTCTGCAGGAAGCACTGGACTAAGGTGCAGGTGCTGCACGTGTGGGTAGTGGACAGGTTTGATGGCTCCTCCATTTTCTTTCCAACTGTTTTATCAGATTTTTAACTAGAAACATTTTGGATTATGTTTTTTCCTTTCCTTCCTTATGTTTTTCCTTTCCTTTTCCTCCTTCTGTTGGATTCCTGTTCTGCAAGCCCAGCTGCTTTCCCACGTGCCGCTCCTTCCCTTCCTCTCGGAGCACAGCAGAAGTGTTCTTGTCAGACAGGCGGCCATAAATTTTCGGGGGGGGCTTTGGTGTCAAAATCTCTTGTCTGACTGCATCAAAGCACTACATCCATATCTGGATTCCAGAAATTATTAAAAAGGATTAAGCCTGCAGCATTTTGTCCTTCAGGTGAAGCGCTACCAGTGCACCTTTGAGGGCTGTCCCCGCACCTACAGCACCGCTGGCAACCTGCGCACGCACCAGAAAACGCACCGGGGGGAGTACACCTTCGTGTGCAACCAGGAGGGCTGTGGCAAGGCCTTCCTCACCTCCTACAGCCTCAAAATCCATGTCCGGGTGCACACCAAGGAGAAGCCCTTCGAGTGCGACGTGCAGGGCTGTGAGAAGGCGTTCAACACACTGTACAGGTGAGGGGGTGTTCAACACACTGTACAGGTGAGAGTGTGCTCAGCACTGTACAGGGGAGGGGGTGTTCAGCACACTGTGCAGGTGAGGGGGTGTTCCCCACACTGTAGAGGTGAGGGGGTGTTCAACACACTGTACAGGTGAGAGTGTGCTCCACACTGTACAGGTGAGGGGGTGTTCAGCACACTGTGCAGGTGAGAGGGTGTTCAGCACACTGTGCAGGTGAGGGGGTGTTCAGCACTCTGTGCAGGTGAGGGGGTGTTCAACAGTACAGGTGACAGGGCATTCAGCACACTGTGCAGGTGAGGGGGTGTTCAGCACTCTGTGCAGGTGAGGGGGTGTTCAGCACTGTACAGGTGAGGGGGTGTTCAACACTCCAGGTGGGAAGGCTCTGGTGAATTTTCTTGTAGGTGTGGCTGTTGCTGTTCTGCAGGTTGCCTCTACTTTGTGTTTGTGTTTGAATACAATTGTTTCCTTCTTCCATGTACAGGTACAGATATAAACCCCTCAAGTGTGGCAATGTTCTCCAAAGGGTAGGATGACAACTGTAGTGTCTTCTTTATATTCCAGTAGCATTGAAGGTGGTGGATGAACACAAGGGTCTCTCAGCCTTGTTGGAGGACTTTGGAACTGATAGCAGTCACTTCCATGAGCTCATTACCTTCTGCTCAGGATATGTGCAGCCTTTGATCCTGCCCTGCACATTTCAAAGAAAGGCTTGCTTGCCTCAGGCCGGGTCTGTCTTATCCTACCAGTCATAAGAGGGATTTTTTTGACATGTTTTTTAGGTTGAAAGCACATCAAAGGCTTCACACAGGGAAAACATTTAACTGTGAATCAGAAGGCTGCAGCAAATACTTCACAACGCACAGTGACCTGAGGAAGCACATCCGAACCCACACAGGAGAAAAGCCATTTCGGTGAGTGCCTGGGTGCTGTGCTGGCTCCTGTGGCTCAGCTAACGAGGCACCTCTGCCAAAAAGCAGCTGTCACTGCTCTGAATGGAATGGTGATCTCCTGAGAAATAAGTGAAGGTGGCTGGCTGCCTTTGGAGCCTGATTGTTCTTGAGCTCCCCCGGTTTCCTTTAACAGTGGGTGCAGTGATTGTCCTAAAAGGCAAGAATGGTTAAGGTAGTTTTTTAAACATAAACCTGTGCCATGGTGAGCATCTTTTAAAACACTTTGCTGCTCTCTTCTGGGATGCAATGTGTATTCCATGGAGAAGACATCCCAAATACTGCTTGGATTTTAAAGTCCTGCTCAGAGCCCTGCTATGATGTGTGTAGCATGCACAGCAGCTGCTGTTAGCTAACAGAGCTTAGCTTTGGGCCTGCTTTTTAGAGTCTTGGGGCTACTGCAAAGCATGATTTAAGGTTGTAGCTAATGCATTGAAGGGGGCTGATGCTGACTGTCCTGTGATGCCTCATTCAGGTGTGAGCATGATGGCTGTGGGAAGGCTTTTGCTGCAAGCCACCACCTCAAAACACATGTTAGAACACATACTGGTAAGTTCTATGGGTTTTAAAAAATTTTCTTTAATTGAGCTTATTAAGTTTATACTAACTCTCAGAATTCTAATAGGAATTAATAGTGACATATAATATGGGAGTGACATGGAGCTGAGTGGCTCAAGTGACACGTATGAAGGAGGGAGTGGCATCCAGAGAGACCTTTGCAGGCTGGAGGAGTGTGCCCATGTGAACCTTATGAGTTTAAAAAGGCCAAGTGCAAACTCCTGCACCTGCACCAGGCAAATCCAGATTTTCCATTTATGCAGTTATGTTTATGCTTGACAGGTCTTGAATTCAATGAACATATTTTCACAAATGTATCCGTAATGATGCATAACAATTGAATATTGTTCTGTGTGTCAGTTCCCATGGTGAGATGGAAGCACTCACCTGCAGGACTCCCAGGAACACTGAATGTGTGAAGAGGCAGAAAATGTCTTGTTTGTATGAAATACTGCTCTGCAAGGTGCTTTAAAAGTGTGTGTCTGATAGGATGTTTTGAAGTCTGTTACATGTGTTCTCTGCTGCCTCTAGGGGAGAAACCCTTCTTCTGTCCCAGCAATGGTTGTGAGAAGACTTTCAGTACCCAGTACAGTCTCAAGAGTCACATGAAAGGTCATGAGAAGGGACATTCCTATAATGCACTTCCCAATAACAATGTGTCTGAGGTTAGTAGCACTTCTGCTTAATGTTTCTGTGTTAGGTGGATATAAACCAGACCTTGGGGAAGAAATCATTTGGTCTGCAGCTTGTCCTTAAGGTGTAATATTTAAGACTGGGATTTTCAAAGTGCTCTCTTTGCCATGTGGGCAGTTGTATCCATCAGGCTGCTTTCCTTGTGTGTGCTTCAGTTGGAATCAATGCTGTGGGGTAAACATGTGAAGTAAGATAGATACTAACTGGGTTTATTTATTTTTTTATTTTCTAAAAGTTGATTTGTTCCTATGCTAATTTAAAATTCTGGGTTATATGGATTTTTGGAAGTACTTTGACAGAGATGTTAAGCATCCTTGATAGCTGCTAAATATCCTTTGCTTAAAAATCTTGATCCTTTGATTTTAGAACTGAGACCTGGGTCCCATATAAGCAAAGCATGGACTCTGAAAAGTAATTTAAAACATTTCTGAAATTATTCTTTTAATATATAATTCAAATTGTTTTCCTTTTTTTCACAGGATACAAGTCACTCACTTTGTCTGAGTGATTTAAGCCTCATATCAACAGATTCAGAATTGCGGGAGAACTCTAACCCAGTGAGTTATTGTCCTGGAATTGCCTCATCCTCATTGGAGTTTTGATTCTGTCCTCCAAAACCAGTGCTCAGTTCAACCTGCTGTAGAAAGCTCTGCATCTGACTTTACCATAGGAGTGTTCTTGATAAGTCTTGACTGAGCTTGGATTTTACACAGAGTAAAATGAGACAGTGAGGAGACTGTGTTGTTCTTTGTGCTGTGGTGTGGGAGCGGGGTGCAGCTCCTGAGTGTGTTCTGCTCCTGTGGATGACTAGAATTGCACAGTCCAGCATATAAAATGGAGCTATTTTTTTCTGCTCCAGAAAGGTTCTGGAAGCAGCCAATTAATGTCTGTTTATGATGGAGTACTGCAAGAAATAAGGGTTAAATAAAGAGTGCATGCAGAGGAATATATTTTTACTTTTGAAGAAGTTACCTATTTTTGTAGGGGTTGCTCATTATGTTGGTAAATTTGATTACAGGTAATAAAAACCAGGTGTAAATTTACAGCCTGTAAGTAGTAGGTGTTGCCATTCCTGAGGGTGGCTGGTTCTTTGGAGGAGTGTTTCTGACATGCTTTCTGACACTGCTTTACTGGGCTTTGTGGAGGCCTGAGATACAACATTGTCTGATGTCTTCCTCTTTGTTTTCTGTTTGTAGACACATGGACAGGACCTCAGCACAATCTCACCAGCAAGCATCTTTGAGTCTATGTTTCAGAGCCCAGACCACACTGCAAATCAGGATGAGTCTCAGCAGACAGGTACCAGTTGTATCTGCACTGCTGTTAAAAAGAAGTTTTTGACAGCCCTGCATGCATGTACTGAATTCAGCATTTTGGACTGAAGCTTAATGCCCACCATAACTCTAAGAAGCAAAAAGAGCTTTAACTTCAGGGTTGAAATTCAATGGTGTTGGGATGCATGGTGTGCACAGACTGTGTGACAGTCAGTGACAGAGGAGGTGGCCCAGCACACTGTCCTGCAGTACTGGCACTGGAGCTCTCAAGCACCATCCTGTTTTTTTGAAGCTGCTGCACAACCTGCCTGATAAAAGGCTTATTGGAGAGAGCTGATGAGCCTGATCAGGCTCAGTGTAGAGCCCAGTGTTACCAGCTAGAATTTACAGCTACTTTTACATTTCACTGCTAAGGTTGTTTTTATGCTATTCTGAAGTTAGGAACGTGGTAATGCTTTACTTGGCAAAAATCCATCAGCTAGCTGATAAGTTCATTGAAAAATCATTCAGACCTGATGAGAACGGATCTATTTATATTTTTTCTGTTTCTCTTTCAGCAGCTTCCTTGATGGAAGGGTTTAACGGCGACGCAGACTCGGTGGCTGCGGTCCCGCCCCCGGCAGGAGACGCGGCCTCGTTGTCCCTCCCCCTGGTCCTGCAGCTCGGCCTCCCTGAGCCGGCCCAGGCAGCGCTGCAAGCCTCGGCAGCCCCCGCTGCTCCCTCCTCCATAGCGCCCGGCTCACAGCCAGCTGCGTTTGGGAATCCTGCAACTGTTTTACAATCCCCAGAAGTGCCTGTTCCTCACAGCACACCGTTTGCAGCCAGTCACCAAGACTTCCTGCAGCACAGCCAGCCTCCACCGCAGCCCATTGTTCAGGGACTGTCAGTGGTTGCTGGGGCTCCTGCCCCGACAGCCCCGAGTGCCACCGAGCCCCTGCCAGCTGTAGTCCAGACTGTGCCTGTTGGTGCAAACCCTGTTTTGACCAGTAACCCCACTATAACCATTACTCCTTCTCCAAGCACCGCCATTCTGCAGCCCAGCATTGTCATGGGAGAGCAGAACTTGCAATGGATCTTAAATGGTGCCACTGGTTCCCCACAAAGCCAAGAACAAATGGTCAGTACATCCAGCAGGGCTTTGGAGCTCTTGCTTTTGGAAAGGGAGGGGGTCAAACCTGTAAGATAAACCCAGGATGCAGTGTGGTATAATGTTTGTCATGTTTATGTGTGTACATGTCACTAATGCAGCCCCTGGAATAGGCAGGGAAATAATTAGAGCACAGAGAAACCCAGGGTGCAGAAAGATTTTGCTTTCTTCTTTCTCCTCGTGGGTACTTCTGCCAGCAGGTGTCAGTGTGTTTATTCAGAACAGGCACCACCATGCCTGAGGATGTACCTGGGCCTTAATGTATTGCTTCGAATGCATAGAAGCACAAAAGACTCTGTAAAGGTTGTGTTTAGACATTTTGTAATCTCTGTCTCTGCCTAATTTTGACTGATAATGAAAAGAGATTTTCTGGAAAGAGAATGTTTGTGGTTTTCCAGTAAATCTGGATAGCTGAAACTTCAGGAGTTTTCTCTTTGACAATATTGGTGCCACTTTAGGCTCTCAGCTGTAGGAGGACACGAGTGAGTGGCTGCAGGTACAGGCAGTGGGAGCAAACACAGCAGTATTTAAGAATTCAGTCATTGAATTCTCAAAACCCACAAGCTGAGTTCACCAGCAAATAATGCAGGGGATGTTATGCCAAATCTTTAGGACCAGTGAAACAATGCTTTGAGCCCAGTTTTTGTTTGTGTCTTTTTGGAACATGTATGTAGCTGTTTAGAGTTAGAACAACAGAAATTTAATTCGAGTCAATTCACATTTTTTCTTGTTTGTTTTTTTCTTTAAAGCCACAAGTTCCAAAAGTAGTAGAAAAGGTGTTTTTTACCACTGCATTACCAGTAGCTGGTAACACAGGTAAGTGTGACACTGAACTAATTGATTGAACAAAGCTGATTTCTCTCTCCCTGCTGTGAAATGATGTAGTTCCATTGTGTTTTGTCTTTGTTCCACCTTCAGGAAACCCTGTTCAGCAGATTGGTCTCAGCGTTCCTGTTATCATTATAAAGCAGGAGGAGGCCTGCCAGTGCCAGTGTGCCTGCCGAGACTCTGCCAAGGACAAAGCCACCTCCACCGTGAAGAAGGAATGTTCCTCACCTGAATCAAAAGCTTTGGAGCAGCCAGCTTCCCAGCTGCAGCCTCAGACCTTTCCTTCCTCCTCTGCTCCTCCTTCCTGTGGGCAGAGCAGTCAGATAGTTAACCCTTCAGACTCCCAGACTGAAACATTAAGTGCCATGGATGTATCGGACTTCCTGTCCCTCCAAAGCCCTGAAACCCCGTCTAATATAATTCCAATTGAAGCACTACTGCAGGGTGAGGAAGAAATTGGTTTGAATAGCAGCTTCTCTAAGTGAAGATGTTCCAGATTTTCCTTTGCACCTGGAGGGTAAAACCCTTCTCCTTAGAAGCAGAAACTGAAGGATCGATTCTTATTCCTTCCTCTTTGGAAGTTTTGTGGCTTATTTCTGCTTCACGGATGTCATCTTAGTCACGTCCCAGGTACATCCACCTTTCAGATTCTATCTAAAAAAAGAAAAGGTAAAAAAAAAAAGAAATAGCTAAGTTATATATGAACTGTTTTGGCTGCACTGTCTGTCACTTTTGCTTGTCATATGTGAACACAGAAGTTAAGGTTACTCGTGTGCAAAAAGATTTTTAAAAGGAAAAGGGGGGTTACTTTGTCTCCAATTGCACCTCACTTATGTTTGGGATTAAGGTACTGGCAGCAAGTGGGTCTTTGTTACAACTTCTTGGGTCTCTAATCTTCTGTCTGTCATGTCTCTACTAACCATGCACTAAAGGGGAGCCCAGGAAAGGAGGCTGTGGGGAGGAAATGGCATAGCTGGGGGAGAGCATTTATCTGCAGTGTGATTTGAATGCGATTGTCACATACCTGATGAGGAGCTGGTGCCTGGTTTTGCTGTGTACTGATGCTACTAAAGCCTCCCGGAGCTTTGGGGGAGTTTATTTCAGAATAGATCTGTTAATTTAATTCCACTAGGACTCGAGTGTGTTGCAGACACTGTGTCACAACATGGAAGCACAGTTGGAGCCCTGCTGGCTCTGGCTCCAGTCTGTTTTCTTGGCCTCTCCGAAGGGTGCAGTGAGTGCCAGGCGTGGTCAGGTTGGTGCCTGCTGCTCTTTTGATTTCTTAGGCTCTGTTCAGCAACAAGTCATCATCCTAACCCTGGGACTGTTGATTCAGGAGCATGGTGCCTTTGCTGGTTACTCTCATCTTTTGTGAAGAACAACCCTTAAGAAAATTTTGAGAAAGATTCAACATAAATTCAGTTGGAATTCAGTGAGTCTGTCCTTCAGTTGTCCATACATGCTTCTTTTTTTTCCAGTGAGCTATATAATTTCTGCCTGACTCTGCCTCCAGCCTACTGCAATGCCAGCTTTTTGTGCACGGGGCTATTTCTTGACTAAAAGATGTTACACAACAGAATAGTTTTTCATATCAAACTGAGAGTCTATATTCTAACCTACTCAGGGTAAATCAAATCCAAACCCCCCCTTCCACCAAAAAGCCTGTAATGTTGCAATAAATGCAGTCTCATTCTAAATGGTTTATTTATGCTGCATTATTTTAAAATATGTAATTTTATAGTTTTTATCCATCTTTCTGGCTTTGGCTGTCAGTTTTCTTGTGTTAAAGGAAAGAATATTAAATAGTCTTTATTCAGTTTACAGTGTTGTCATTAGTGAGATACAAAGATAATGACTGTAAGCCAATTAGTGGGGAGTGTCCCTGCACTCAATTTAGGAATACAAACTGTAGTGGATAGGGATCTTTCACTCTTTGTGTTTGATCAGAGCTGCTCTCTGTACCTCTGGGGAGGGGAGAACCCTGTGAGTGCTGCCTGGTGATCAGCAGGTGTTTCATCCTCCTGTGACATGCTCAGTGACCAGCACTGAGACTGGCTTCAGCCACCTCTGCTGTTCCCCTGAGAAAGCACTGCCCAGGCACGGGTGGAAAGGGGCTGAAGGGAGCTGGCCTTCCCCTCCTGCACAGCTCCTGGTGAAGTGCAGAAGGGAAAGAGCCATGAGGGCAGAAGGTGTGCCAGGAGCACTCAGTGCCTGGGACACTCTGTGTCTGTGCCAGGGCAGAGAGCTCGGTGCTGGCAGCTGCAGGGATGAACTCCAGGGCATCACACAGCTGCTGGTGTTTGCTCTGGGTGTGTGGCAGGGCTGTTGTAGCAGGGGTGTGAGGTTTGACATCCACAAAACAGGTTAACAAAGCATTTCTTGCTTTGTTCCTGTCATGGCAATCCGTGAGGGCAGCGAGGTGGTGGCTCCTTTGCTTTTCTCCTGCAGCTTCATTTTGTGCTGCAGTTGAGTTGTATGGCAGCAAGAGCTGCTTTGAACACAAAAAACAGTCCCAAGCCTGTGTGGTTGGGACTGTCCTCACGGAGGAGTCCCCTGCCTAGAGCTCCACCTGGGAGGGGAGTGAGTGCTGCCTGGGGGTCCCTCTGGTGCCTCTCACTGTGGCCTCAGGCATTTTCCTTGGCCAAGTGCAGCTGTGCTGTTTGAGGGTGAGTGGGTGTGGATGTGTGCTTGTGGGACACTGCTGATGCAGAGTGTGAAGATTCCCCAGGAGTTGTGGGGGTTACCTCTGGTGGGGGACAAGGGTCCCAGATGTGGCCTGCACTGTGACAGCTGGGCAATTTAGCAACTGCTTCTGAGCCTTCACAGCCTTCAAGGAGGCTTTTTTACTTTAGCTACTTATGACTTAGTCAACCTAAAACACGCTCCTGGTTGGACCAGAGAGCATCTTCAGAAACTCTTTTGTGACTGAAATGAGTAGAAGAAACTACCAAAGTCTCTGAACTGGGAAGCTCAGTGTGAAGCTGCAGTGATGGGCACCAGTGCCCAGGGTCAATCTCTGCTGTTTCTCTTCACAGCTACTGTTTTTTTGTTGTGTTCCAGGAAAAGCAGTATGTCCTGCTGATTCTTTGGTGCATTGGGTTTGCCATTTCCCTCTTATACATGCATCAGGCAGGCTGCAATTCAGGTGGAACTGGCTAGAGCTTGTACTGAGGCAGGAGCGTGTGATGCTGTGAGCACACAGGCTGTGCATCCACTGTGTTTTACAGGTGTGTGCTTTTGTTGTTCATTGTCCATCTGCTTTGCAGGGTGTTTGTGCTGTGTGTCTGAGATGTTTTCACACTTGCATCATCCCCAGTACTGTGTGATCAGCCTGCTCCAGGGCCATGCTGGGATGGGAGGAGATCCAAGGGCAGCTGCAGCAAAGCCCTGAGATTCTGCAAGGCCAGAGATTTTCCTGTCCTCTCCTTGCTGCCCCAGCATTTAGCATATTCACTATTATATGGTTAATGAAAGGAGAGCTTCTGCCCTGGATTCCCAGAAAAGGGTTAATGTGCTGGAGCCTCTGGGAACAGCGTGCCTGCCTCTACAAAGTCTGCATGAACCCCTTTAATTATCAGTCAGAGAGCAAAAGTGCACTGCTCTAGGTCACCTGTTTTGTGCTTGTGGGGGTTTACTTGGTCACTCATAGTTTCTAGATGGGTGCAGAAGTTAAAATTTGTAGAGAGGGTCAAGTCACTGACTTCGGTAGCTTTGGTCTCCAAGCAAGGACCCAAGTGAGCAGACTTGGCGTGCAGCTGGAGGTTGGAGAAATTGCTTTTTGTGCTTGTAGGTGGGGGGTGGGAGGGGTGGGGTGGAAAATCAGCACTGCTTGAATGCTGGTACTGAATCACATGGAACAAAGTACGAGTTGGACACTTGTGTAATGCTGGGTGTCCCCAGGAAGACAAGTCCGCAGAACCTCATACTGGTATCTAAAATGCACTTTAGGTTATTTTATCTTTAACCCAATTGCTGCAATTTCTTTTGTATATACTTTCACAAAGTTTATTTTTGCTCTGAGTAAAAGTTAACAGGGGTGTGCAAAGATGAGCACTTAACTTGGTGCAATACCTGTAGCTACAGATCCTTGTGCCGCGTGGTCCGTGTGTCTGTCTGACAGAACAGGTGTGGTGGGTGCTGTGCTGCCCTTCCCCGTGCCCCAGACAAATTATGCATCGTTAGCAAACGTCCAATCTATGCAAATAACCCTCTGAGAGCACTGTGCTTCAGCAGCCTTTTCTCTCACGCTTTCTGGGGGCTGCTTGTCACTCCTGTTGGACATGCTGTGTCCCTGGATGTGTGTCCTTCCCCTGTCCTCGTTCTGTCACCCACGTGGGAACACAAGTGACAAGCTGCTTTCAAACAGGCATGTTGCACCTTTCAAATTTGTCTTCAAGATGGTTTCTGATGTCCTGTTACTGCCTTATTTCTTGGGGTGGCATGGCTGTGGCCATCCACGACGTTGTCCTTGATCTGCAGTGAGCTGTTCCCAGCACTCCTGCTCCGAGGTGAACTGCCTTGGCATGGGGCTGAGCCCAGGCTGGCTGTCCCTGGGGTGGCTGGACATGAGCAGCTGCTGCTGCCTTGTTCTGAGGTGAGGCAGCAGGCAGTGGGGCAGAGCAGAGGAGCTCTGGTGTCACAAAATCCCTTCCACTGCTGGCTGGGGGACACCAGGTGGGGCTCGGAACCTCGGGCTGCCTTGATCCTCCCCACGGAACCAGGCCAGGGTGTTGTTTCCATGAAATGATTTGAGATCTGTGGGTGAAAACTTCTTGGCAGGAGCTACCTGAGCTAGCTGGGCAGAACTGTTGGAGTCAGTTTGGACTGTAAGGCAAAAAAGAAGAGCATGTCTTTAATAAACCCTATGAATTTCTGACTGCAGAGTTTTTAATTGTATACTATTTTTTCCGTAACATATTTTGGAAGCAATGTCAAGTTTTTATAAATGTTACCTGTAGTCAATTCTCATGGACAGGGCTGAACTTTTAACTTTTTTGTGTCTTGTCTTGATATCTATCACATGTTCTAGAAGTTGGATTCTGTGTCTGCACTGAGAAATGCAAATTAAACTGGATATTTATGTAGTAGTGTACATAGTCTAAGTGTGTGTTTTTGGAACTAGGTGAAACCCCACACCATGCTGCAGTGGTGTGCAAGCTGGCCAAAATTTGGTTCATTATGCAGTGTACACTTCCTCAAATAAATGCAGTTTCTACTTTTTTTTTAAAGAAAGATTTTTTTCACATGACCTTTTGCAGCAGACTCGAGGGTGTGTTTGCAGTGCTGTAGTTGCAGTTGCTGGTGTTGCTGGTTTGTGACTCTCTTGTCCTCCCGCTGCTCGGGCTGACCCTGCTCTGTTTTGCCTCACCCAGCCCAAACCCCAGCCTGGCTCCAACCAGGGCAGCTCCAGCTCCAGCTGAGCTCCTGGGGCTGGGGGGCTGCACTGCCTGGGGCTTTGGAGACAGCTGAACTGAACCCCAGTTTCTCAAGAATGTGTGTATGGTAATAAAGGAATTTATTTAACTCTGAAACAGGGGAACAAATGTGCTTACATTGAGCAATGTGAAGATGTTAGTTACAGGTACAGTACTTCCAAAGGAAGAGCATCTCCAAAACCCAAAAGAGTAAATATGAATTTGTATTTTTTGAAGAATGTGAAATAATGGTGTTTGCTTAATTGCTCATTTTGTATGAAGTTAATATTGTACTTTGAAATATCTGCAAAGAAGTGGAAATTAACCTTTTTGGAATTGAAAGCAATATTAATACTAATGGAATCCTAATTAAATGCTTATTTAAACATTGTGTTATAATAGTTTTTCGTGAGAGTATTCTGTGGGAGAGGAGTGTGAGCATCCTGCCCTGTCCCATTAGGAACAGGCATTCCAACCCTGAAAGGCAGCGTTTGCCTTTTCACCCTCCTCCCTCTCCCAGCACTGGCCCGGTTTGGCCGCTCAGGTTCTGTGAGGTGCGTTGGGAATTGAAACACAGAACTGGGGGCTCTCCCACCGCAGCCCTCCCTGCAGCCCTGAACGTGCCGGGCTCGGCAGGGGCAGAGCAGGGGCCCGAAAAACCGCGGGGTTGGTGCCGGGCTCCGTGCGGAGCTCCGCGGGGATGGTGCCGAGCTCCGCGGGATTTGAGCCGGGCTCCGTGCGGAGCTCCGCGGGGTTCGTGCCGAGCTCCGCGGCACCGGCTCGGGCTGGCCCCGCTCCCCGAGCGGCCTGGGAAGAACCAGCCTTGGGAGCACACGGGCGCTGGGGCCGTGCCTCCTCCTCAGGAGCACACGGGGGTGGGGAGATACAGACCGAGCCCGTCTCGCTTTATTTTGAAGTGTAAGTTTAATGCGATAAGGCACCAACGCGGCGACACCGAGCGAGCTCCAAGGCCACGCGGGGGAGCCGGGCGGCGCGGCTGGCACTGCTCCCTGCGCTCCCGGAGCCCCAAAGCCTCGGTCCCTTCGGTGGAGCCGATCCTCGGTGCCCCGGGGCTCCTCAGGGCCCCGCGCCGCCCGCCGGGCCGGGGCTCACCGCCGCCCGCAGCGCGGCCAGCGCCGCCCGCAGCTCCTCGCAGGCGGCGATCCGGGACCGCAGCCGCCGCTGCCGGAGCTCCAGCAGCTCCCGCAGCCTCCCCAGCTCATCCGGACCCTGCGGGGACAGCGGTCAGCCCGGAGCCCCTGGACCCTCCCGTTCCCTCCGTTCCTCCCCTGTCCCGCTGTCCCTTCTCCGGACCCTCCGATCCCCTTAGCCGCTCCCGTTTCCCCCTGTCCCGCCGTCCCCTCTCCGGATCCCGCGATGCCCGTGGCCGCTCCCGTTCCCTCTGTTCCTCTCTTGTTCCCCGATCCCCCTGGACCCTCCCGTTCCCGACAGCGGTCAGCCCGGAGCCCCTGGACCCTGCCGTTCCCTCCGTTCCTCCCCTGTCCCGCCGTCCCCTCTCCGGACCCCGCGATGCCCCTGGACCCTCCCGTTCCCCCGTGTCCCACCGTCCCCTCCCCTGACTCCCGATCCCCCTGGCCTCTCTTGTTCCCCGATGCCCCTGACCGCTCCCGTTCCCGTTTCCCCGTGTCCCCCCGTTCCTCCCTCGTTCCCCGATGCCCCTGGCCGCTCCCGTTCCCCCTTGTCCCCGATGCCCCTGGCCGCTCCCGTTCCTGGAGCGAGGCGGTGGCGGCCGCGGCCGGCGCCCTGCGGGCGGGCGGGCTGGTGGCCGTGCCCACGGACACGGTGTACGGCGTGGCCTGCCTGGCGCAGGACTCGGCCGCCGTGCGCAGCATCTACAGCCTGAAGGGGCGGAACGGCGCCAAGCCGCTCGCCATCTGCCTCGGCGACGTGGAGCGGCTCTACCGGTGCGCGGGGACCGCGGCGGGCCCGAGCCCCGCGGGAGGCAGGGGAGCCGTGCCGGGCTGCCCCGTGTGCGCGCCTGACCCGCTGTCTGCCCCTGCAGGTACTGCCGTGTGAATGTTCCCGACGAGCTGCTGCGGGACCTGCTCCCGGGACCGGTGACCCTGGTCTTGGAGCGTTCAGAAGAGCTAAATAAGGACCTGAATCCCTTCACATCGGTAGGGCGTGGCTGCAGGGCTGGGGGCAGGGGGATGGTTTTGTGCTGCTGCTGTAGCATTTGTCCTTAGCTGTCCCCAGAATGGTCCCTGTGTTGTCCTGCTCCCTGTGACGTGACATAAACCATTTTGTCATCACAGGTCCAGCAGGTGTAGACCTGTCAATTCTCTAGAGTTTCAGCTTTAATCCAAGAGAGCTTTAGGCAAGGCGAAACTAAAGGCAGTTTCCGTGTGTCCCCCCCTCCTGTGCCCCTGCAGCTGGTTGGTGTTCGCATTCCAGACCACGCCTTCATGAGAGACCTGGCCCGAGCCTGCCCGGGGCCGCTGGCTCTGACGAGCGCCAACGTCAGCTCCCAGGGCAGCACCCTGACCGTGCTGGTGAGGCTCCTCCACCCCTGCCGCGTCCCTGGGGCACTCTGGCAGAGCCCCAGGCTCTCTCTGTTGGGTTTAGCATAAACCAAGCGTTGCTCTGCTGCTGTATTTTTATTTTATTTAAATGGTACAAAGCGCTGTCGGGATTGTTACCCCCGGCTCTCTTGCAGGAATTCCAGGACTTGTGGCCTCAGCTGTCCTTGGTTGTTGATGGAGGCCCCATAGGAGACATGCAGAGCCCAGAGTGTCGCTTGGGGTCAACTGTGGTTGACTTGTCTGTGTCAGGGAAGTTCTCCATCATCCGGCCTGGCTGGTGAGTGTGGCTGGGCCTGTTCTTTGCTTTAAATGAAGCAAAGCTTTTGGGTAGGGGTGGGGCCTGCATTGCTTTGCTTTGCTTGCTTTGCTTTGCTTCACTGCCCACAGCAGTTCCACCTTCCCATTAGTGTTAACCTAATTATGAGCACACACAGAAATCCTCAGGAGCTCTCAAATTCCCCTTTCTCACAGCTTCTGTGTGAAGCTGTGGTTTCTGGAGTCTGTGCTCTCCTTGGCTCTGAGTGCAATCCTGTGTCTCTCTGATTGCTCTTCCCCAGAAAATGCAGTTTTGATGCTCTTTGTTCTCATGGCTCTGTTTCTCCCTGCAGTGCACTAACGCCCACAGTTGAAATCCTGAAGAAGAAGTATGGCTTGGTACCAGAATCTTCCTAACCCTTGGGACTGGGAGCTGGTGGAGCTGGGCACTGTGTGCCTGTGCACTCAGCAGTGGGTGATCATGGCCTTGTTTAATAAGGTCGATGGGTTATGTCAAGGTAAATTAAAAAATATTAAAAAAGAAAGACTGGATAACCCTTTTGGACCTTTTTGAGCTGCTGTACTGTTCCCAAATGTCTGTTCTGTTACCCTTTGTGAATACAGAGATTATGAAAGCTGAGCTCTTGTCAGGGTGCTGTGGGGAAGGCCCCGTGTGCCCCAGAGCTCACCCTGTGCCATCTGCCCTGGAAGGAAAGCAGACATGGAGTGGAGGGGTTTGGGGCTTTGAGGGTGTTACAGCTGTGCTGCTCTCTGTTCCAAATGTGATCAAAACCTACTGATATTAAACTGTCAGTGCTTCTGAAAATTCAGTGCTCAGGTACCCCAGGATAGAGCTGCTCAGAACAACCTGCTTCCTCCTCATGCAGAGAATGAAAGAAGCTCTTGGTGTGATGATCTTCCTTCGTTTAAATGTAGAATTCTCTCTTGGTTTTGCTCTGAAATGGTGCTAAGCTGAAGTAAACAGGGAATGGATGAAAGTGTCCCCTGGTATTGATCATTGATTGACAAGTGAAGTCACTGGGAAGCGAGGAGGGGGAGGTGTGGGGCCAGGATCCTGTCCCTGGGGAGCAGCTCTGCCCTTGGGGTGTGTGTGGAGTGCCAGGGCCACTGCCCTGCCTGCACCCAGCCCTTGCACAGCCTGCACTGGCGTGGTTTTTCCCAGTGTCTTGAGGGCCATGGAGGAGTTTTCTGCTGTTGCTGCTCACAAGCAGCTGTCCCAGGCACTGTGATGGATTGCACTGCACACACAGCTGACCCCGGAGTCAGCACTGCCTGCCTGGAGCTTCTGCTGTGAAATTCCCAAAGCACCAGGCTGGGGGAGTTACTGTCATCTGCAGAGTGGGATCTCTGCTCTTACCTTGCCTTTCCAGCTGAGTATCCTGGGGGATGGAGGGGCTGAGGGAAATCAGAGGGATCTGAGGGAAACCACTTCCTTTAGCCTGCACAGGAGCCCTTGTCCTGCCTGCCCGTCCCTGTGCTGGTGGGCCCTGCTCTGAGCACAGGGTCTGGTGTAGAGGAGGGGCAGAGTGGGGCCCTGGGGCTCAGTGGGTCTGGGCAGGTGACTCCACATCCCCCAGCTCACACCAGGGCCAGAGCTGCTGCCCTGGTGCCCCCACGCCTGCAGGGGTGTCAGGGCTGTTTGGGGCTGGCTGTAACCTCCCAGCACAGTGAGCAATTTCCCTGCTGGGTTTGCACAGTGAGCAGTCCCTGCCTCTTTCCTCGGCTCATCAGCTGTTCATGGATCCTTGCTGGGCTCACCCATCACTCACACCTGCCATCCACTTTCCAGAGGTTTCCTGTTTTCCCAGTGCTGCATTTCCCTGCTCAGACAAGCTGATCGTGCACCATGGATAGCTGGGTGCAGCTGTGCCCCTGCCCTTGTGCTGGCACCACGAGCCATGGGCACCCACAGAGCCTCATGCAGCTGAGGGGCCTCCAGGAGCTGCTTCCCTGGCTTGGGGGCTCTGCTGCAGCAGTTCCTCCTCTTCCTCCTCCCCCTAGGAACTCTGAAAACTCTTAGGAGGAGCTGAGCCAGGAAAGGCTCCTTTCCCACAGCTGTGTGGGGAGTGATGCTCCCCAGGTGAGGCAGAGGAAGAGCTGCCTTGCCTGGATGGGACTGGCTCTGGTGGCTGCTCTGGGGTGCCCAGAGCCTCATCCTGGCCACAACCTGCAGAGGCATTTGTGAGCAGCCAGGGTGGGCAGAGAACTGGAGAAACGTGTCACCATCTCACCTGGTGCCTCTGCTCGTGGCTCGTTCCCTGCTGCCAGTGCTCAGTGTCCCTGCAGGTGACAGCTTTATTTGTAGCAGCAGCAAGAGGGTGAGCCATGCATCAGGCACAGGTTAAGGGCCAGTGCTGTCATTCCCTTGCAGAAACTGCAGGCACTATAAATCCCCTCTTTTCTCTTTCCTCTGGCTGGCTGTGGGGCACTGTGAGTCAGCACGATGTGCTTGGCACCAGCTGAGGTGACAGGCCTGTGTATCAGTGTCAGGGCACTGTCAGCACCTCTGCAATGTGCCAGCACGGAGCAAACCTGGGATTTGTTGCTTGTTCAGGTGTCCTTGGTACTTCCCAAATGGGGGCCCTGCTGCTACACTGAGTGACTGCAGTGTAGGGAGTGGTGGTGGCACCTGTAGTGTCACCAGGACACAGTGACCTGTCTGGGGACACGGTGAAAATACACCCCCAGCCCAGCTGGCACAGGGGGATCAGGCACAGCTTCTGCTGGAGTGGGGAGCTGCTCTGGAAATGTGCTAGGCAGGACTGAAACACCTTCATGAACACTCCCAGAGCAGGGTGACCCTTGTGCTCACAGCCCTTCTGGAAATCACATTGTTGTGAGCACTCAGAGCAGGAGAAACACGGTTTGCATTTTAATTAGCACTCGCCCTGCAAACAGAAATGCATTTGAAGAACCCCACTAGCAGAGCCAGTTCAAACTCGTGGAGCAAAGCAGCAGCACAGGGCCAGGGCTGCTGGTGGAGGTGGAGCTGCTCCTTTCCTGCCCTCTTGGAGCTGGTGGGAATGCTGCTGGCTGAGGCCTCCAGGAGCCCTGAGCAGGGAGAGGTTTTCCTCCATCACTGCAAACACAGATCTGTGCTGCTGCTGCTGCTGCCCTCGTTCTGCTTCCCAATACAATGAAAACCAGACTCATGCTAATTAAGCTGGAAACACAAAATTGCAATTTGCTGCTGATTAAGCCTTTCAAACAATATTTATGTTAATCTTCTTCTGGTTTATTTTCTTGTAATGTCTTGACTAGGAAATAGTCCACTGCCTGGGGAGATGCTTCCAGATGAAGCCCAGCCTGCCCTGCTGGTTTAAGGAAATAATTAATTAATTAATTAATACTGATTTAAGGAATTAGTCTGTAGAAGTGTAGATAATTTAGTCAGAAGGGACCTTGAGGTCATCTGGAGAGTCTGTTTCCTCAGACAGCAGTCCCTCTTCCAGGTCACTCCAGGTACATTTGTCAGATTTGCTCTCAGCTCCCTTTTCTGGAGGATATTCTGCCTGGCTGCTCTTCTTCCTATTTTCCAGTTCCTTCAAAAGATATTTATTTGTACTGGAATTTTTCAGGGGCTAACATGGTGTGTGTTCATCCACCTCTTCTCCATTTTCCCCCATTTCAGACCAGCTGTGGTTCACCCCCCCTGCTGTTGCCACCTTGGGGGTGGCTGCAGGACCTGGGGAGGGGGCTCTGGGCAGAGCAGCTGAGGTGGGGAAGGGCTGGGCTGCCCTGGGATGTCACCACTGCAGGAGCCATCAACAGTCCCTGCATGCAGGGAGGAGAAGTCCAGAGGTCAAGGGCTTTCCACTGTGGAATTGTTAAATTAACTATTAATTTCATTTTGATTAAATTAGAACTTTTTTTTTTTCCCTTACCAGCAAATTATTCTCTGCATAATTAATGCTGGCTGAGGCTGCTGATTCCCTTGCTGCTGTGGGACAGAGCATTCCACTGCAGTCCAGGGTGTGCTGGGCTCCAGGGGCAGCCCTGGAGGAAAGCCATGGGGAGCACTCTGGTCCCCAGGACAGGGAGAGCACTGCATCAGATCCCCCTGGCAATGAAACCATTCATTTCTACTGATGAGCCCACTCTCCCCAGGGCCTGGGGTGATGCTCCCTGTTAACTCTGCTCTCAGGGGCTGGGGGTGGCCTGGTGCAGCTCTGTCAGGGGCAAGTTGTCATCAGCCACAGCTTGATTGGATGAGACTTTGAGATTTCTGGGGAATGAGGAGCTCCCGAGCTTGTAGCAGTTACCTGCCCAGTGTGGGCAGAGGGGAATTTTCAGCTTTTCCTCCTTGCTGTGTAGTTGTATCCTCTGAACATCCTTCAAATGCTGACAGGCTTCCCCAGGTGTGCAGAGAGCCCTTCCCTGCCTCCAGGTGTCTGAAAGCAAAAGAAACGTTGAGTTCACAGAGATTTGGGGTTTTAATCATGAAACATCATCTTTTAAAACCTGCAGTGAGCAGGACAGTTGGTTTCATTATTCTGAGCATGTTTGGCCAAAATCCTCTGCTGGTTCCCAGACATCCACTCCCCTCTGCTGCGAGGCTGCAGCTGTGGGGAGATGAGGGATGGATGGATGATGGATGGATGGATGGATGGATGGATGGAGGGATGGATGGATGGATGGATGGATGGATGGATGGATGGATGGATGGATGGATGGATGGATGGATGGTGGGACAGGGATTGAATGGAGGTGGGACAGGGATGGATGGCAGGGCAGGAACCCCACACCTGGCTGACGTGGGAGCCCCAGGGCGGGCACAGGGAGTGGCCAGTGGGGCTCTGTGGTGCCTGGCTGAGGATGGCTGGGATTGCAGTAAAACTAAATTCAGCATCCAGGATGTTCCTGAGGGACACCACCAAGGTGCTGCTGGAGTGGGGAGCAGGCTGGTCCTGCAGCCAGCTGGGAATGCTGCTGAGATGAGCATTTGGTGCAGAGACCATGTTTGCTCTCCTTGTGCCCTCCATGGTTAACACTCTGCAAATATCTGCTTGGCAATGACTCCAATTAGGCCAGGACATCTCCCTGTAATCTGGATCCCTGTTGTGCTGTCAGACTCAATTCAAATTTAATTTGCTAAAGGTGTGTATCAGGCAGCTTTTTTCCTTAAAACAAAATGGAGGTGAAGATACCGTTGATGGAAAAAATAATACAAGTTCATATTCTTTTTAACTTAAGGAAGGAAAAGAGATGCCAGAAAACAGGGCTAAATTTACATTTTAATGGGAAAGGTTCTGACTGCCTGCTCTGAGAAACACAAATTGCTTTCTGGATGGGACCCTCACTTTATCCTGAAGTGCAGGGAATTAAATCCAGCAGTCCCTGATGGGATGAAAGAGATATCTGGAGCCACAATCCCCACCACCAGCCAGTGACAAGGACAGGCCAGGTGCTGTGGTGAGGCCAGGCTGCTGTCCCAGCAGGACACAGGGACAGGGCTCCTGGCCCAGCAGGGGAATGTGCCATGCCAGGGAGCAGAGGGCTTTGCTGTGTGTTTCAAGCCTGGGTGACCGTGGCCCTGCCCCTGCTGGTGTAGCCCAGCCCATTTTGGGGTGCTGGCAGAGGCAGGGCTGGCTCAGAGGGCTCTGTTCTCCTTTCTGTGTGGCGAGGAGGGGTCTCAGGAGCAGAACTGCACTGGCACGAGTGCCACTTCAGCCATTCCCACTGGCAGCTGCAGTGGGAGCTTCCCAAGAGCCGTGCCCAAGGCAGCTGTGCCCTCTGGGGTGCCTCTGCTCCTCCTCGGAGCAGCTCAAGCCTGCAGTCAGGCTCCAGCAATCTCTCTCTGCTGTTAATTTCTTTGCATCTTAAAGCATTTTTGGAGATGAAAGCACGGCACAGTGTGCACAGTCTTATCTCTGGCAGGGCCTGTCACCTGCAGACGTTTCTGGCACATTCACCAGCGTGGCAGAGACTGGTCCCTGCTGGGACTGAGCTCCTGCAGTGTGTCCCCACCCCATATGGTGCT